CCCCCAATAATCTCTAGCTACGGGGCTGCCAGGGTGGCCACAGCGATTCCAGCAGGGCAAAAAGCCTACAGCGTCTGGTATTCCCAGGCGGTCTCCCATCCAAGTACGTTTCCAAGATCAGAGCGAGGGCAGAGCGGCCTGAGGTGGAGGGCCCCGTGAATCCGTGCTGCGCCCTGGCAGTGGGAAGCGTGGTCCAGCTTCCAAAGTGGCTGAAAAGCTTTCCAGCCCTCCGTGTGTGTCGAGGCTTAACGTTTCCTTTCCCTTTAGCCGCTGGGCCCACAGCCTGATGCTGGGAGGAAGGAGAAAAAGTGATGGCCTGGGTTGGCCAGAGTAACTCCAGGAGGGCGAAAAGCTGGGGCATGGCTGAGCCCCTGAGGATGGGGCCCTCTGCTGCAGGCCTGTGTGCTCTCACTAGATGTCGTGCCTTGGTGACACTGTACTCTGGCACTCTTCAATGAGTGGCCGTCCTTCCTACACCCCAACAAATATAGATTTCTCACCTTCACGGCAATGGGACAAAACCCGCCACCTGGCCATGGAGTGCTAATACTGACATCCACGTTCCCTTTGCAGGGAACCCCATCCACCCTTGTGTCCCCCCCCCCCCCCAACGGCCCTTCAGGTACCTCAAAGAAGGCCTGCCCTTGGCTTTCACACTCACACTCACCTCTCTTCTCCCCCTCCACAGCAACTCTTTTGACTTCCATCATGCCTCCAGCACATCTCTGCCAAGGTGCCCTGTCCTTTTCCTCAGGTACCTGCTCCAAATATGTCTCCACAATCCCTGGGCGGGAGGCGGGGGTCACACCTTCAAGGGAACAAGCTTGCAATCTTGGCAGTGCAGGGGAGAAAGTCTTCACCTGTGCCGCTATGCTAGCCACCTTAGAAAAAGATACCTCCTCCCTTTCTCACGGATAGCTCTTAAATTTTGGCATTTGTACCAAGGCACTTTACTAATGATCTAGTTTTTAGTTGTATTTTAAACATGTCTATGCCACCTTTTCATCCAAATAAAGTCCCCAGGGTGGTGAACACCAAAAATTTAGAAGAGCCTTAAAGTCAATATCAGCACTTTGAAACGGGCCGGGAACAAATTGCAAGGCAGTGTAGATGGAACCACAGTGTACTGATCTGGTCCCTAGAACCCACTCCTGTCAGGGTTCTGTCTGCAGCATTCTGTACCAATTGTAGCTACTGGATAGTTTTCAAAGGCAAGCCCATTTAGAACCTATTGCAGTAATCTAGCCAAGATGTTACCAGGGCATGCAGCACAGGGGCAAGATTTCTCCCCCCCCCCAAGGCCACAGCTGGCTCAGCGGTCCAAGCTGGTGAAGGGCACCCCGGCCACTGTTGCAAACAGAAAGCTCTGGGCCAGGAGCACCTCTAAGCTACAAGCCTCCTCCTCCAAGGGGAATGCAGCCCCATCCAGAACTGGAGGTATCTGATTTCCTGGGTCACGCTCCCCCCCCCCAACCAGTAGCACCTCAGTTATGTTGGGGTTCAGTTTGTGTGGGTTGTTATGTCCTCTTCTGGCTGTGGGTTCCCAGGTTAGAGTACTCACTCAGGCACCCATTCTCAGGTCCATTCAGCAGAGACAAGCTGGCTCAAAATATCAACTGTTTATTTGCAAGGGGGCAAGTCCCACAAACAACAGCTACAGCTAGCATACAAAACTGGAAACTGAAACTACAGCTCTACCTAATCGGACCAAACTAAATCACACAGATATTTGGGGGGTGGGGAGGGAGCAGACTGTTCCATTACATATATACAATAAACGTACCTCATGGATAGCTCAGAATCCCCCCCCTGGAGAACAATTAGGAATGGAAAAGTGTGATTCCCATCCCAAATAATCTTCCATGAAGAGAAGGCTTGCCATTATGTGCCCACTTCAGGTGGAAGGACTTCTGCCTCCAGCCCCCGTTGCCTGGACTCTGACAACTGGAGGGAGAAGAAAATCACTGTCAGGGATGTTTGCTAAAAATCTCAGGCGAGGTCAGGTGGGCCGCATTCAGCCCACCAGCTATGTGTTGAATGCCCATGCCATAGATCTGGGGTCCCCAGCCTTGTTGGTATAGTGACCCACAAGTTCATCATAGAGCTGGGGTCCCCAACCTTGTTGGTATAGTGACCCACAAGTTCAAATTTACTTGGTATGGGGACATACTTGAAAAAAAACAACAACCAGAGCATTCAGAAATCACTAAAACCGAAAGAGCCTGTGGCCCACTTTCACAGGCTTCATGACCCACAGGCTGGGAAACCCTGTCACAGAGGGTCATGGTGACCTGAAGCCCAACTGTAATTCAGGAGATTTCCAGGCAACACCTGGAGGTTGGGAACCCTACCTATCATCTCTCTGGGTTTGGTCCTCCCAGAGACTTCCAGGAGGTTATTCTGTCTCAAATCTAGTGTGTGTGCATGTGTGTTTTGCTCCATCTTGCTGTTTGATTGTAAACGTTTCAGAACATTTTTTTCAGTATCAATTCACACACGTCCTTGGGGAGGCTCCACTTTTTGCCATCCGGCTTCCACTTGGGGGGGGGACTATTTTGAGTCGAACTGAGTAGCCTTTGTAAAAATGTAATTACCTTGAGTTACAACCCCCCCTCCCCCACTTATGCTCTGTTCCAGAGGCAAGATGCAGGCGGCAAACTTGAAGTCTCCTAGCAAGAAAACAAGGAGCGGTTTATTAACTCCAGAGGCATCGGCACCTGTTCTTCTGTTGTCGTAAAATTAACCAGGAGTCTGTTTATTCTTTTATTCCAAGTTATCTTTCATGACATCAGAAGCGCTACTGAGCTCCTGTTCAGAGGAGCGACGGGGATGGGGGTGGCGGTGGTTTGAAATCCAGTTTATGACACGGAGAAGTGTCACGTCGGAGGAAGATATGCAATGTGGTTCTGAATGCTTGATTTCGTTGCCTTGGGCTGCAGCCCCATGCACTTTCCTTGAAGCAAATCTCATTGAATTCGTTGGGACATGATGCTTCAGAGGTAACGCCTCATATCGGGCTACCGATGGTTGCCTTTACGCTATAAATACACCACCGAGCCTCCACTGCGTTTGGCATTAGAAATTCAAATATATTGTGCCTTAAGGTTTAGGACATTTGTGGAAACGGGATTGTCACTATTTGGAGATACGGAGGGGAGAGAGTAGTACATCGGATTTTTATGCATATTTTAAAAAATTAAACTTAATTCCTTTAGAAACCAACACTCTTCTTATGCTCTTCCTGCCAGTCCCTTGTTAGCTACATCCGCACTAGGGAAAACAGAAGAGTTAGGACTGATTTCAGCCTTCCGGTCGCCGGGTTACTCCGTCTTCTTGATTGGCTGGGGCTGGAGGCGAGCCTCTGACGTCACGCCCGCTGTTCCTGGGTCAGAAGTGCGTGGATTGGCGATGCGGTCGCAAGTGGAGCTGCGGAGTTGGGTTGGAGCCACGGCGAGGGGCCCGGGATCGCCTAGGCGAGGGGGCGAGGCTGCTCTGGTCAGTGGGGATGCGGGGGGCTCTTGTGTCCTTATTTTTGGCAATAAGGGGAGGGGAAAGTGTGTGTGGTCCGAGCTTAGTTACTCAGGAGTAACCTCCTCTGGATTCACTGAGACTGGGGAAGTGTGCCTAAAACCTCTCGGGCTGCCGGCCGGCTTCTGTTCCTGGAAGGGTATTGGGGAGCCCGAGGAGGACAGCTATTGGCTAGTGATTGCTTGCCCTCTGCTGAGTCACAGGGAGACGGTCTTCTTACACGGGTTAGTAAAGCCGGGTCAACCCCTGCAGCAGAACGAGGGGGGGGGGGCTTCAGAGACTGCAGGTGAGCAACCACTTGTTTTGAACAATGGTGGTGTAATCTTGGCAAATACAAAACCGGAACAAGTTAAAAGTCAGTAGATTTTTACATTTTCAGGGAGGTTTTTTTTTTTTTTTAAATGGGCAGGAACATTCTGCTCCCCAGTGCACTCTGTTCTCCTGCTTTATTCCCACGTTTTTTACCTGCATGTGTAGCTTGTGCCTAATCCTGGCATGTGGAACCTACCGTGGAAAACCCTTCACTTGGATAGAGTGTGGGGCAAGGATGGCTGTGTGTTACTCCGTTGCTTAATTTTTGCAGCGAAAGGTCATTGTTCTTGGTCTGCAATTTAGGCACTGGGCAAGTTGTCATAATTGGAAATGTGGTTGCAAATCTCATAGCCAAAGGTAATTACTTTGAAGCCCCCTTAAATTTAACAAGAGGAAAAATAGGTAGGACTTGAAGTTTCTTAAATATTGATTGGCTTGTAAAATTGTATGAGCTAAACAAATAGAGAGTTTACTTTTTGCAGCATTAATCTATCTACTTAAAATCCCATGAATGTTTGTTATTGCTTTCAGGTTTGCAGTTACTAGTTACTGAAGTAAAGCTATCTCAGTTATCAAGGTTTTATTGTACAAAAGATGAGGAAAAACATGCAGATGTATACTGGGTGTATAAACACGTGTTATGTTTCATGAAGATTTGTATGAGAACGTTCAGATGGGGATGCTGGGGAATATTCAGTGGCATTAGTGTGTGCAGGCTCAGTGACTTGTAACTGAATGTAGTCCAAGAGGCACTGGACACATGCATGGCTACCATAAAGCTTCAGTGACCTTGATGACATTCTTGGATTGAGGCGCTGCAGAGCATAAGAATCAGCTGCTCTTTGAGCATCACTTCAGTTGACTACGATGTAAATGTAGAAGCAGATCCTGAATTGTGTATGCTTCACATTGATCAGATGCTTGTGAAGAGGAGAATGTGTGACTTTTTTAGACAGCTGTGATGGGGTCGGCCTTCCGAAATTTTCTCATCACTTCTGTGTTTTTCATTCAAGATGCACCCTGTGCTGAAAGCTTTTGTTTGTGGTTCCATCAGTGGGACCTGCTCCACCTTGCTATTCCAGCCTCTAGACCTGCTTAAAACCCGGTTGCAGACCCTACAGCCATCTGTCAATGGGTAGGTACTTGAAGTTTCTATTGGAGCCTCTCAGGCTTGGGGTGTTAAAAGGTGGGGGAGAGAGAAATTTGTGGAAACAGGATAAAAGTGTTTTTAAAAGTGTTCTGAGATCCAGAAGCTGAAGAATGGCTCTCTAACCTTCTGATTTTTCTTATAGGTCGGGTCATGTTGGAATGGTCAGTCTGCTCTTTAAGGTTGTTCGCACAGAAAGCTTACTGGGGCTATGGAAAGGTGTTTCTCCTGTAAGTCATTTGTGTTTCCCTTGTGCTGGACTCATCGTAATGAATGTATTTTTTTCTGTGCTGCAAATAAAACAATAACTAATATCCTGACAGTGTGCTCCTAAGCTGAGTTATATTCTTCTATGTTAATTGAAGTTAGTGGACTGAGAAGGGGGCAACTCAGTTTAGGAATGCACTGTTAGTGGCTGCTATCAAAAGCAAATGGATACCAATTCAATGACAGGAATATACAACAGTACAGCAAGGAAAAAAGTTTGGACAAAGTATAGTGGGAAGCATTAGTAGTAGTTGATATGTTCTCCAAATTTTATTTTTTTTCACATTAGATGATGCTTAGAACTGTAGCAGAAAGTTTTTTCTGATTTATAGCTTCCCCCAGGTACTTGTTCAGCAACTATGCGATCTTTAACTTTTTCTAAAAAATTGTAGTTTTCCATTGTGTTCAGTCTTTTTCATATTTTCTCTTACTGTTAATATTCTCACAGTCGTTTGCAAGATGCATTCCAGGAGTGGGGATTTACTTTAGCACCTTATATACGATAAAGCAGCAGTTTCTGCTGGATCATTCCCCTACAGCTTTGGAATTGGTTCTGCTGGGTGCCACCTCACGTAGCGTTGCTGTCATCTGCATGCTGCCTGTCACTGTAGTGAAAACACGATATGAGGTAATTTTTTTTAATTGGATGAGCTCAGTTGCACTGTCTTGTGAATTATTTCATAAAGCTTCAGTCTTTCTTGTCTGTGGTGTAGGCTGACTCTTTGTTCGGTTTGCAGAGTGGAAGGTATGGCTATGAGAGTGTGCATGGAGCCCTCAGAAATATCTACCGGTCAGAAGGAGTCCACGGCTTGTTTAGTGGCCTGACAGCAACACTCCTGCGAGATGCACCCTTCTCTGGCATCTATCTGATGTTCTACATGCAGACCAAGAAGATCATACCTTATGGTAAGTTTGGCTGTAACAACTGTGCAACGGGATGATAGTCCTATAGAGTGGCTGTCCTTGTGATGCAGGGGCTAGAAAGGTACCCGGGGCTTTCCCCTAATGGATCAACATGAGGAAAAGGCCCAAATGTATGTCCAAAACATGAGCCGCATTTAGGGAGATAGATCAGGTGTATGCTTGCTGAAAATTTGCTAAGCTCCTTTTATTTGTGGTGGGTACATGCTTTTGAACTTTCCCTCCCAGAATCTCCATACTTGTTTTTTATCTGTTCCCTTTTCAGCTTTTATAACAAAAATTTCTAAGCATGTTTATTTGGTAGCTAAAATTTGATCTTTCATTGATTTGTATTTGGTTTTTGATTCTAAACTTAAAATCTTTTGCCTGTTTTTCATACTGAACCATTTCTGTTTCAGTCTCTTGGCTTTCTTATTGATTAGGATATAGTTTTGGAAACTTTCAGTCTGTTCTTAAGTGTATTTTCTTAGTCTCATTAATCTTCTCTGTGCATAAAGGGTTAAAGCTCTATTCTTTAGTAGAAAAACTCCAAATGCAAACTGAAAAGGATGTCATCTGTTGAGTAACCTTTTTAGCCAGATATCTGTTAGCCAGTGTATTACTTGGCACTGACAGTTCCAGGGAGCTACGACTGGAACACAGACCCTGAGTCAGCAGTAGGATGATGCCATAACAAGGTGGGAGTGCCACTGGCAGCTTGCTTTAGAGAACATTTTATCAAACCGATATGCTGTAATAGGTACTGTATCAAAATACAGCATCCTCTCAATGCGAGTTAGAACTCGTTTGAAATGCTGGTTCAGAACACACTACATTTCGAGGAAGCTATGCTCAGTCTAGAGACAGGTAAGAAAGTAGCAATGCAGGAGGTGAAAGGCTGGAGGAATAGGATGTGTTGGTCAAAGGAAAATTTAAGCTTTTGGATATTTGAAACTGCCTTAAGGAGGATGAGGAAGCACTGTAATGTTTTTTTCTTTCTCAGTAAGCATAGGATAGGAAAGCGGCACCTTTAAGACCAACAAAGTCTTATTCATGGTATAAGCTTTCATGTGCAAGCACACTTCCTTAGGACAGGAAGACGGGGATGTAAGATGAGGCTGGGAAATATAACAGGCTGCTTGAAGATATTAGAATCTCCTTTTATGCAAGTCTTGTCTAAGTAAGAGTATGGATAAGCATCCACCCCACTATTGAGGTTTTAGGTAGAATTAATTCTGTTGGAGCTTGGAGATTCCCCCTGTGCTGTTAAAAATGTTATAGCTGGATATATGAGGTTTATCCAAAAAATAAAACTATTTTAAATAAAGATTCCCCCTGTGCCTATGATGATGGGAATACTTCCCTCCCCCCCTTTGCTTGCTGTCTCCCAGACCAGTTGGATCCTGCACTCACACCTTTAGTGAACTTTGGCTGTGGAACTTTTGCTGGAATTCTGGCATCGCTGGCCACGCAGCCTGCTGATGTCATCAAAACCCATATGCAGCTGTCATCTGAAAAACACCATCGGACAAGAGAAGTCATTTCTTTAATTTTCAGGGTAAGGCTGAGTTGTCAGTATGGTGCATTGGCGATTTTCAGTTGAGACTGGGTCTGGGTGGGACAATTCCTTCCTTGCCGCCTCAACAGCTTTCCCCGATACTTACGCTGTGCCCTTCCCCAGTGCTGCAGATGTCTCCCCTTATTCCAAAATGTACAATTCAGCCCAAAGCAGAATTTTATCTTTTGGATTACAAAAAAAATCATACTTGGTTCTGATCTGGTATATTACATTCTGCTGTAGAATTCTTAGTTTTTCTTTGTGTGCATGTATCTTTTGCCCCTGGACCATGGGAAGAGATACAGCTCCTCCAGAAGAATATGTGCCACAGCAGAATACAAATTGGGCAATTGTTATAATTCATGACCCAGCTAAATGGCAGAATCAAGATGTACGCAGTTGCTGCCGCTTACCGTTTTAATTACTCTGGTCGCAGATTGCGAAAGCATGAGGCGGAGGTAGGGACACTGCTCTAGTCAGCAGGTTCAGGGAACATACAGGTTGTAAACTATATCTCTGTCCTTTGGACACTAGATTAAAAACACGGATCTCTCTTTCAAAAAGTTGGCCAAGTCTTCCTTTAGATTAGCATTTCTTCTTTCTCAGAAGCTCGGATACTCTCTGACTGGCTGGTCCTTAATCCCAGAAATAAGGCCTTGCTTGGGGGATGGGGAGTGGTGTTGAAGGAGCAACAGGTAGGAGACACAGTGACCACCCTTGAGAAAAGGACATCTGTACATTTAGGGTTTCTTTGTTATTTTTTAGAGGAAATGTTTGTGAGCCACTGTCTATTTATACACTATGCAAGAATCCTAGAATCTTACAAGAATACAGGGCCTGCCTCAAGGAGTTCATAATCATTTGCCATGGGAAACAACACAGGGAGGAAGAGAAAGTGGGATCCAGTATTCCTGTGTACTTTAAATATTTGTGGTTGGTTTACTATGAAGACCAAAGCTTTAAGGAAAAGATGGGTTTTGAAGAAAAACTGCAGGAGATAAAGGCATCCTGAAAGAGTTGTGGGAGGCAATGCTAGGTATAATATGTTCTTGCACAGCTCTCATTTACTTCCATAGGGTAAGATTAATATACAACATGTCCTTGGGGGTAGAGTGGCCTTTGCAGCAGAGATGGCCTTTCCCTCCTCTAAAATCCTGTATTCAGTGGAATATGATAGTTGCATGAATAGCCTATGACAAGAAAGAAGCTGGGTGGCACCATATTTTTATCAGCTCCCAACAGCTGCACAAACAAGCTACTGGTGAAATGTCTTATAAAGAATGGAACTAGTAAGTCTGTAAAGTGAGTCTTATGTTGCACCTGTGGGAAGTCCAATATTCTTGTTCTTTACAGACTGAAATGCCAGGAACAGTTCATGTTATTTGCCAGGTGCCTGCTTAGGGAAGGAGCTGTGGCTCAGTAGAACATCTGTTCGGCATGCAGAGGAGGTCCCAGGTTCATTCCCTAGCACCGCCAGTTAAAGGACCTGGTAGGAGATGATGGGGCAGACCTCTGCCTGAGGTTTTGGAGAGCCACTATCAGTCTAAGTGAAAAATACTGACTTCGATTGACCATAGCTCTGATGCAGTATAAGGCAGCTTCATACCTACTTCCTACGTTAGTTTCAGGAGTTTGAAAAGTCATGATGGGGAAGGGGCATTGTATAAATAATATAAAGGTAGGTTATCACCTTGTAGATGTCTTTTATTCTGCTGTTCCTCCAAGCCACTCAGAACATCACAGATGGGTCTTCCTTTCCATTTTATCCCCACAATAATCCTGTAAATTGGATTAGGCTGAGAGAGAGTGACTGTCCCATGGTCACGCAGTCAGCTTCAAAGCTAAATGGGAATTTGAATCTGGGTCTCCCAAGTTTTAGTGCAACCTCTGCAACACACTGTTTACACAAGCGCTACTTTCATGTAGAAATGGGCAGACCTTCACTGCGGCCCTAATGTGTCCTCCAGCAGTTCAAGAGCATGAACGTTTGGGTGTAATGATAGCACTTCCTTCTTGTTACAGGATTACGGGCTGGCTGGTTTCTTCCGGGGTGCCGTCCCAAGAGCTTTGCGGCGCACACTGATGGCTGCAATGGCATGGACTGTGTATGAGCAGATGATGTCAAAATGGATTTGAAATCTTGAATGACTTGTATTCTTATTCTTTCGCCACTCACTGTGATCTGCTGGCGAGATGGGAGCTGCGACCGGTTTCCCCCTAGAAGGATGTCTCGTGCCCATTGTGGGGAAGCACTGCAGAGTTACCAGGCCAAGAAAGCTTCACTCATAGAAATGAGAGTGGAGGGAAACACTGCTTTGGTCGTGATGGTGAAAGCGTTCCAGGGAGACTGCGTCATACCTGGGATGTGAGAAGTGTATCAGACTCTGGTGTTGTGCGGGAGCTAGTCTCAGCTTCAGGAAAGGTCTCTCCAGATGTTTAGGCTGAGAATCTTCAGAAAAGAACATGCTACAGACTCTTGGGAGAGAGACGTTGGCAGCTGGGACTTCTAGACCTAGAACGTCATTACTGTCCTTGGCGGCAGGTCCAGTCTTCTAGATTGTGTGATGCCTCTTCTGTTCTCTCCTCTTTTCAGCATGTGACAAATGTATGTCACGTTTTGACAAATGCACGGAAGGGGAGGGGGTTTGTAAGGTTTACAGTGAATTCATCTCTTTTGTCAGGTGTAATTCCTGCTCTGTTGGGAGTTACAGACTGAATGAACACTTGCTGAAAGCCGCCGAGGGAAACAACGACCTTACCATTCCTTAAGGGATAGATTTACAGTGTAATCCTAAACAGAGTTACATCCACCTAAACCCATTGCCCTGAATGGATTTAGAAGGGTATAACTCTGCTGAGGATTATCCTTTTATTCAGTTGAACAATGTAGCCTTGAAGTTTCACTTAGAAGCCCTCTGCTTCTGTTTCAATGAACACCACTTGATCCACTTCAAATGTTCTCATTAAGTGGTCCTAAACTCATAGGTTATTTTGTTCACTTCTCTGTGAGCATAAAGCACAAGGGGCAAAACAACAGCTCTATTCAAGAAAAGGCTTTAAGAGTCACATGCTAGCACTAATCTCTTTAAGCAAAAGCACTGTAATGTCACCAGTGGAACCACACTTCCTGAACGCTGCTGCCCTACCATCTTGACTAGTTTTTGGCTTTTCACTAGTGGCGTACCCCATCTGTGTTACTGTGCACTCCAGCTCAAAGATTAGTCTTGGTGTCCACGCTTCCATGTTACAGTTAGCTGTTCCATCCGCACTCTTTTCTGAAAACTATCGTCCTGAAAGTTAAGTGAAAGCAAAAGCTCTCTTTGGAATGTTTGCATTGAAAACTGCAGCCGTGTATAGCAGTCCACACCAAACTCTATACGTTAAAAGGCTTCATTCTCATCTTCAATGTTTTAAATCCTGGAAGCCTAGTTGGAAAATATCCATTTCTCTTTGGGCTTGGAAAGAACTCCATTTCACCTGTGAACACTTCAAAAAAGTTGCCTTTAGCCACTTCATTTTATGAAGTGAATGTGTTTAATTCTTTACTAAAAGCCCTGAATTTTTTTTAAAAAAGCTTGCAAACTTTTCCCTGTGAGTTTGGTCTCATTTTCTCTTGATTTGTGGATCCTGTACATCTGAAAAGAAAGTTTGATCGTCATGGATATAATACCATAGTGCTGGTAATATTACTTTAAAATTAAAATTGCAGTTTAATGTAACATGTTTTTGTTTGAAAGTGGTGTGTCATCTGCTGAGTTGGACAGCCTTGTAAATCATTGATGCTTCTCTTTTGAGGACTGGTCTGGCCTCGGCAAATGTATGCGTGCAAATCAAAGCCTTAAGGTGTGCTTTTTCTGAACATATTTGGGTTTTTCTTAATGGCAGTGCATTTGTCACCTAGGTTACACCAAGGTATAATTTCACAACATTTCAAGTCCATGTAGAATTTCAGACTCTTATCATACAGGTGCTACTCAAATCTTGGTAGATGGATGAGGTATATGTATTAAATATTTGTATGCTCTCTTCCTTCCTCCTTCCCAAAAGGGTGAGAGTGAGTGACAGCTTCAGCCTGGCAACTGCCGTGAGCCAGGAAAGTGCTTTTTAGTTGTCGATCTCTTGCTCCAAGAGGCATGTGTTCTGAGTACCTCCACTATACTGCCTCCTATAATCTTAGGTGTTGCAATTTTGATTTCAGTCGCTATGCCAAAAGAAAGGACAGTTTTGCATAGAAGCAAACCAATTTGTGTAATATAATTAGAACTGAAGGTTTATACTTGCAGGTGATACTTCAAAATAGCCTATTGATACCCACATTCAAGGTAAATTTATATATTCATTATTAAATTATCCATCCTAACTGAATTTTCCTACTCATGTCTCTTAAATTAAATGTGTTGACTTCCAGTATTAATACTATTTTGATTGCCAGAACTGTAGTTCTTTTTAGATACAGTTCATTAAATTGCACTTACAGCCTGCAGGTAGTATGAACAAAAGGTCATAACTTTATCCTGTTGAATGTGACTCCTTTTTTCTGTGTCAGCTGAATAAATATATTTGTCCTTAGCAATATAGTCTGCCTGTCATGCTGATATATTTCTGTCATTTGTTAGATTACACTGATATGGCTAGTTGTATGCACCATCCAAAGCATGTTACAAAACATGGGGAAAAGTTACAAATGTAAACAAGCTTGTGAAGCAAACTGTAATCCTAAGTACTGCAGACTTTAAAGCACTTGTTTTGGCACTATTCTTTTTGGAATTCACTGCCACAGTATGTAGTGATGGCCACAAGCACAGATGGTTTTAAAAGGGAACCAGATACTTTCATGGAAGATAGGTCCATCAAGTGGGTACTAGCCACGGGAACCTCCATGATCAGAGGCAGTAAACTGCTGAATACCAGTGCTAGGAGGCAACATCAGGGAAGGCCTCTATGCTCTGCTGATGGACTTCCAGAATAACTGATTGGCCACTGTATGAGACAAGATGCTGGACTAGTGGTTTGATCCAGCAGGACTGTTCTTCTGTTCATCTGTGAGAGCGTCCAAAAGACTTGGAGCACTCTTGGAATCGAGCTTTCCTTTTGCCCTTTGTTCAACACATCATGCATGCCTGGCCTCTTTTACAGTGTATAAACCAGATTACCTTTAACAGGCAATTCTGAACCTGGGATGCCATCAATGCTCCCTCTAAGGTGTGGAGTCTTGTGAGCAAAAATTCTACTTTGTGAGCTACTGGCATGACAGTTGTGAGCGAGCAACTTGGCTGCTGCATAAATTAGTTTGCTCTAGAGCCATCCTTCCTGAGCAAAGACAAAAATGTGTGAGCCAGAGGCTAAAAAACTGTGAGCTAGCTCACACTAACTCAGCTTAGAGGGAACACTGGATGCCATTGTGAGAAATGTAGGTTTAAAATCTTTCTGTGGCAGATAGCTAGCAAGCTAACTGTAGCATGAGATGTTACTTAGGTTTAAAGTCTGAAGATCGTGAATGGGTCCACATTAAATGAAGTAAAAACAGCATTTGGTCTTCAAAACATGATCAGTTTTGTAAAGTAATCAGATTTTTTTGGAATGGAAATGGGTTTAAGGATTTTTACCTTAAAACAGTGGAGCAACTGACCTGAGATAAATTGCCCAGTGGATTTTTAAGATTAAAATGACAAATGAGCTAAGCAAGCTGTCCTTAAAATAGCATATTTAGTAAAAATAGCATGCAAGAATCCTAGAATCTTACAAGAATCAGATCTTCCACCAAATCACTGTAAAGTAAGGGGGGGAAATGAAAAATGAATTATGGGTGGGTGCATTGGTGGCCTGGCTGATAAGAAACTCTGAACTCTCACTCTTCCTTCATTTTCTCCCCCCAAATGAAACCACACAGAAACTTCACTAAGTATCTCAGGCCCCATTGCTGATGACTTCTTGTAAGGTCTTAAGAAGTGGCATGCCCATGGGGTCAGGCATTTTCTGTGGCTGTGCTTATTTTGTGAGAAAGTCTACCAGTAGGAGGCACCCACCCTCTAAGCTTTTCAGAAAGGCAAAGCTGCTCCTCTAAAATCCTGTATTCAGTGGAATATGATAGTTGCATGAATAGCCTATGACAAGAAAGAAGCTGGGTGGCACCACATTTTTATCAGCTCCCAACAGCTGCACAAACAAGCTACTGGTGAAATGTCTAGTAAAGAATGGTACTAGTAAGTCTGTAAAGTGAGTCATATGTTGCAGCTGTGGGAAGTCCAATATTCTTGTTCTTTACAGACTGAAATGCCAGGAACAGTTCATGTTATTTGCAAGGTGCCTGCTTAGGGATGTGGCTCAGTAGAACATCTGCTCGGCATGCAGAGAAGGTCCCAGGTTCATTCCCTAGCACCCCCAGTTAAAGGACCTGGTAGGAGATGATGGGGCAGACCTCTGCCTGAGGCTCTGGAGAGCCACTATCAGTCTAAGTGAAAAATACTGACTTCGATTGACCATAGCTCTGATGCAGTATAAGGCAGCTTCATACCTACTTCCTACGTTAGTTTCAGGAGTTTGAAAAAAAGGTCGTGATGGGGAAGGGACATTGTATAAATAATATAAAGGTTGGTTATCACCTTGAAGATGTATTTTTTACGGGAGTGACATTTCGGTCCTCAACAACTATCGGGCTGTCTCTCGAACACGTTCATTCACAACAATAAGGGAACACTGTTTGCAAGTACCAAAAAAGGAGTTAAGGGGGTGCCCTTCCTTAGACTCCTCCCAAACCTCAAAATAGTTATTTGAAAACCCCCCCCCCCAATACCAAAATTTGAATTACCCCCCCTAAATAATATAAAGGTAGGTTATCACCTTGATGATGTCTTTTTTACGCGAGTGACATTTCGGTCCTCAACAACGACCGGGCTGTCTCTCGAACACGTTCACTCACAACAATAGGGGAGGAAAGGCGGGATCGCACCAGCAGCAAGTGCGGGGGGCGCAGGGGGGGGGGGGCTCCCGGCCGCGCCCTCACAGTTTTCTCTTGCCTTCGCCCGCCAACGCGAAGCTATCTCAGATGCGTCTTTATCTCACTCTCGTACTTTATCATCTTGTCGTCCAGGTGGGTAGCCGGGTTGACCTGAAGCAGCAGAACAAAGTCGGGAGTCCAGCGGCCCTGGCACCTACAAAGTTTTATTCAAGGCATAAGCTTTCGTGTGCGTGCGCACGAAAACTTAACACCTTGAGTAAAACTTTGTTGGTCGTAAAGACGCCGCTGGACTCAAACTTTCCTTTTTCTCCTACCGTCCCGCCTTCAGTGAGCAAGAAGCGGACTCCAGGAAATTAGAACTACAACGTCCGGCAACAAAACCGGAGGGCTCACAATAGAGAGCCCATGAGAGAGCGGCTCCTCACGTAGCACTAT